CCACTCGGAAAACGCCAAGAGTGTCCTTTATAGAGAGGTGATCGTTCTATCAACATTGGTTTCACTGTATAACTGCTACTTAAGGGAAAGTTAAGAGTGTCCTTTATAGAGAGGTGATCGTTCTATCAACATTGGTTTCACTGTATAACTGCCACTTAAGGGAAAGTTAAGAGTGGCCTTTATAGAGAGGTGATCGTTCTATCAATGCGGTTTCACTTTATAACTGCCAAGAGTGACATTTACAGCTAGCCTCTGCTCTATAGATGTGACTTCCAACATGACTGAATATTCAAACGACAGCGTGGAAAGATGATGACACGGCCAAGCGAGGGCGCCACTTACGCGCACGAGCGGAACCATCAGTCCAGCCGGAAGTTCGTAATACGGGACCGACGGAAACAGACTCGGATCGTTCGCGTCCAGCACCGGTGCTGCCGCCGGTGGTGGTACGTTGAAGTTGGGCGGCAGAATGGCTGGAAACCCTGGCGGCGGTTTACTGAAGTCGATGTTTGGTGGTATCGGAGCCACTGACACTGGCACTGCTTGGGAAACAAAGAATGGGTTACACTCCTCACAAACGCCTAGTAGTTACATTGTCCCTCGTAAAATAATATAGAATGTTGTTCAGTTATGTAGTTTATTAACTTCTCCACTATCCAGCCCTTTTGTATACAATAACCATCATGATCCTTGGCATATCTCATAACACAGCACATCGTTATGATAAGGTAATCTAAAATCGCTCCAAGTATTAGTATTTGAATTAATTATGCAATCACCATCTCATTACATTTACTTCACACTCGTTATATATCATATAATATACATTACATTACATATTAACATATTATTATTACATATTATAATCACCCGTATTTACGCATTATGTTTCACTCCAAGCTTTCACAATTACTCATCCTGAACAAATAATCTCACGAATAATATTCTACAAATTAATTATAACAAATTAAAAACAACAAATATCCCAAATGACTCACACCGTGGGGGATAATGTTCGCAACACCTTACCTGGGGGGAAAGGCGGAGGCCTCGGACTGCCAAACAGTGGCGGAATCTGATTGCTGAAATCCGGGGGAGGCTTGCTGAAGTCTAGCGGCGGCTGCTGGAAGCTTGGCGGAGGTGGATACCGCTGGGATGCGGAAGGTGGCGCCGCCTGTGAGCTAACGGGTGCCTGCGCAGCGGCGGAGCCTAGAACATAACACGTGTCGACCCGGATAAACCACGGGAGAGCATGGGCAACGATGAAAAAGTGGCGAATGCTGAATGAAACTTGAGGTTATAGACACAAAATTAAAAAAAAAATTGGAGACGTTAAAATTAACATCAAAATTGTGAACCTGTTAACGTTAACACATTTTAGAGTGTTGTCTTGCCAAATAAAATCTCCACAAATGCTGTGAATATGTCGCTAAGTATACGCATATAGAAACATTTAACAAGAGCTGCAGAGTGACTGGGCTCATCTGAGGTCTGTTGCTACAGTTATAAACGTAACATTTCAGTCGTGCGTAGTGACACCTTTGTTAGGCACAGATATGCAGATATGCAGTTGTGTACACATCATTTCAACAAACATTTTTTTTATTGCAGAGAGAGCGAGCGAGAGAGAGGAAGAGAGAGAGGGGGCGAGAGAGAGAAAGAGAGAGAGAGAGAGAGAAAGTGGGCAAGAGGAGAGAGGGAGGCAGTAACCATTTTTAATACACTTAGTCTTTCTGCTACCATTCACAGTGAAAATTCTTGATTGACCAGGGACTGCATTTCAATGCGGGTCGCTCATCCATTTGAATTTAGTACCTCTATAAACGACGAAGACGATGTAACGACGGAGTAACTTTGACGTAACGTTACGACGGCGTAATTTTGACGCAACGACAACGTAATTTGACGTAACGACGCCGTAACTTTGACGTAACGACGACGTAACATCGTTCTAACTTTGACGTAATGACGGCGTGACTTTGACGTAACGACGGCGTGTCTTTGACATAACCACGGCGTGACTTTGACGTAACGACGGCGTGACTTTGACATGACGCGTGACTTTGACATAACGACGGCGTGTCTTTGACATAACGACGGCGTGACTTTGACACAACGGCGGCGTGCCATTGACATAACGACGGCGTGACTTTGACGTAACGAC